TTTGGGACAGATTCTACGATGGACATGGAAAACCTGCTTACCAAAATGTATCCCTGGGAAAGAATTGCCCAGGGCGCCATTAATTCTCCTTCACCGACCACTCTGTTCATCACACCTGGTTCCACCCCTGTCCCCTGGTTCCCCCCCTGCTCAGACCGTCCGGCATGGCAGGAGAGAGCTAACCATACAATCTTTGGCTGAAATGGGTTTCTCAGAGAGCCAGGCTGAGATGGTGTATGAAGCAGCGAATAAAACCCGCTGCAAGCATGACGTGCCGGTGTTGACTGTGCTCTTCAGCCTCGGCTTAAACCCAGGCAGCGTGCTGAAGATCCTGGAGAAATGTCCTGAGCTTTATTCTCTTAAAGAAGCTCAGTTACAGCAGCGGGTTCTGAATCTAAGGAAGCTTGGCCTGCTTGAAGGTGAACAGCTTTTACTTTTACTTACTGTTTTATTTTACCTCATACTAAATGTCTTTCATTTATGGCTATTTAAATAAAATACTTTTCTTTCTGTTTTCACTATTATTATTATTATTATTATTATTATTATTATTATTATTAAGTAGCTAATCATAACTGCTCTGTATCAGCTTAAAGGAGCGGTTCGGATTTTTTACAGCCCATTGCTACGTATAATGCAAATTGAAATTGCAATGAAAACGTCAACAATCCTTTACACGCCCAACTCCCAGAAACCCACAGAATGTCTTAAACCGTGTGCACAAAGCCACAAAGTGACAAGATAGACCTCTCTGACATTTATTTTCATGGGAAAACAGGATTTGGGGATCAAGCATGCTTTAATGGGGATCTCTCCAGGTGAAAGGTCATGAAGTGTGCACACCCCTACATCCACAAAACACCTGATCGCATGTGATTAAAGTCATGTGATTCGGAGATTTTCGTGTAGTGTGCACGCTGCTTTAAGTGGCGCAGAGCATTTTTTCAGAAGCCTTTTCTAAGGTGACTTTAGAAATTATTATAGGTCTTTTCAATATTACCAGCTGTACCTTTAAGTGTACGTTTATTCTATTAAAGGTGCATGAATTTGGATATTTGTAAACGTGGAGGATTAGAAACATCACTGAAGCTTTTAATGTTCATCCCAGTGCTGTATATTTCCAGACTGCTCCTCTTGTTCCGACATACTTATACTGGTTAAAAAAACAACAATATAATATATCCACAAACATCTCATTTGTACTTGTGTACCCATAAATTCCTTCTACAGATCAGCAGGATTTGTATTCAGAACGTTCACATAAGTCATCATGGAAACAATGATTTATCTTTCATTTATCCTTCAGTGACTTTTTGGAAATTGGATTTGTGAATAGAAACACAGAATGGCCTGAAATCGGCTCATAAACCCTGGTCTCTGTTTGTTAGGCAGTTTGCAGAGGGTGATAAGCCACTACCCTGGGATCCTGTCGTTTCCAGTGAAGAGGGTGACCGCTGTGTCTCGGCTCCTCAGAGAGAAGTGCCAGTTCACCGCTCAGCAGATGGCAGACATCCTCCGAGACTCGCCGCATGTAGTGGAGGAAGAGCCAGCACGTCTGGAGTACATGTTTCAGGTAGGTAGAGTTTTTCTATATTATTCCATTCAGCTTTCTGCAACACTGTCATGGCAGGACATGCGTGGTTTTTTTTCTTTAAAAAAAAAAACAATGTTTGCAGTAGATTTGTTTGTTTCCACCATTTTCAACATGTGAAGCTGCCAGGTCAGATTTCTTACAAGATTCCTTAATTGACCAATAAAACGTTCAGATTTAAAACCATCACATTATTATCGACTCACTTATTCACTCCTCTTCTGTCTATCTCTGGATTTCTATATGAGTTAAGATGATTTTAAATATTATCTTCTAAATCAGGGAGCCAGACAACAAACCAGCCAGTGTGGAGCAGACTGCACTTTGTCCTGACTTTTTGTCCTGAATTTCACCCCTCACTTTATTATGCAGGAGATTTTATTGTACCCTGCTCTCTCTCTCTCTCTCTCTCTCTCTCTCTCATCTTATTGCAGTACGTATATTTCCGTATGGGCTGTCGCCAGGCTGAGATGGTGAAAACGAAGCTCTTCAGACTCTCCCTGGAGGAGCTGCGGTGTCGTCACAGCTTCCTGGAGCGCCGTGGACTGTACCAAACCCCTGACAAGAAGGGCCAGACGCTTATACTCAACCCGCGCCTCAAAGACTTTCTCAGCGTCTCCGAGGAAATCTATCTCACCGATATCGCCAATGCCACACAGGAAGAGTTTGATGTGTTCCGGAAACTAGTGGCAAGAGAACAGGAGGAAGAGGAGCAAGATGAAGAGTACAGTGATGATGATGATGATGATGATGATGATGATGATGATGATGATGAAAAGGAGGAGGATGATGATGATGATGATGAGGTCACACTGAGACACATGAGCTCCAAGAAGAAAACAAATCAGAGAGCCAAGATGCCAGAAAGACACTGATTCTCAAATGTAGCTTCACATTTCTGTTTCTGTGCGGTATGCCATATTGATATGGAAATAAATTGTCTCCTTGCATTTTATTGATTGCCTTTTCTAGTGTCCTGTGAATTATGTGTGTAAATGCAGGAAAAAGCAGGAAGTTGATGCGCAAGATGTGTCATAAAACCTTGTTTGTGCAAACAAATCCCCAATGATGCCAAAGCATAATGATACTGCCACCAAACATGCAGTGTTCTCTTCTCAGGGAAAAGATCTCTCCTCTTGCCTGTGCTGATAGTTTTCTGAGCTCTGCTTTGAAGTAAAGTGTTGCTGTGACAGGAAATTAGGCTGAAAACCCTGTGTGTAGCCATGGAGTGCCTGGAGAGCTGTGAGGTCGCGTGCGCGTTCACGCACCGGTTACAGCGCTGACGCACTGCTCGGGCGCGCGCCAGAGTGCGTGTGTGTAGTGTGTGTGTGTGTACTGTGTGTGTGTGTGTGTGTGTGTGTATCGATTCCCACTCTGATGTGAATGAACGGACGGAATGGATGTGTGAGAAGAAGGTAAGCGAGTGATCGTCATTTCTGTGGAATTGATCTGTGTGTGTGTGTGTGTGTGTGTGTGTTGCCTGGCTGAAAGTGAATGAAATCGATAGAACAGACGAGTCTTGAACTTAATGGCGCTTTCAGAGGACATCCTTTTGACTGTGTACACAGCAGCAGGTGCTCTCCTAGAGTCGCAGCTTTTTCAGAACAGCTCAGGAAGAGCACAAGAGGCTTTCTCCCTGCACCTCATTCATAAAGGAGCTGGCAGTGTTCTTTCTAAATCCTAATAAATTAAATGGATTCTCCAGCTGAGAAATTACATCCAACAGGAAAAAAAAAATGCTTCTTAATTTGTATTTGTTGTGAACAGTATCATCAAGACTTATGTATACTGATATGTTATGGTGAGGCTCAGGTAAAGTTCTTACATGGAGAATACACTCATGTGTTTAAATAAATGGGCCCAAAATGGCATTTATTAAGCTTTTAGTGGTCTTAACAACAAATCACTGGTCAGGAAATGAGCAAGAAGTAAACAAATAGATAAAGGAAGTTAGTATTGGAAGCTTTTCCCTTTAGTTTCTTTAAATGTTTAAGTCTTGTGGCTCTTGATGAGCTGCATCAGGTGGGGCAGAGAACCAAATAATCACTAATCTTTTAACATCCCTGAAGATATTTTTGGAAAATTTTGTACATCCAGTGTTTGAATTTTACATCAAACAGTTTAATCATTATCATGCTTTTACTTCTGCATACAAGAAGACTATATAAGTGAATTTCTCTGTTTCTAGCTTTTCCGTAAACAAACAGTTCGCTGCAGCAAAAGTAAACGAGCAAATGGTGGCACAGGAGCTCTCAGGAGTGCATCTGCTTCATTCTTACTCATGACCAATGATTTGTTGTTAAGACTACTAAAAGCTTATTACTTTGCTTATTAGGCACAGAAAACACAACACACTTTTACGTACTTTCACAATTACACACATACACTAGAGCTTAAACAAATATGATCAAAATAGAATAAAATAAGTACTTAAAAAATGCCATAAACAAAATACAATATAACAAGTTTTATAACCAAGTGTGGGAAATAGGGAGGAAAAAATGAGCTGTGTAAACAAGATAAGACAAAGTACTGTAATTAGACATAAATGATTGTTTTATAATGCTAACAAATGACTTTCGTATTACTCTAACATCACTTTACCACTTTCCTTGTTCCCCACCCCAAGATAAAAAAATCAGTCTATGTGTGCCCTGCTATTTCTAATATTTATGCTACAGTAAGAAGGCAGTTTGTTATAACCTTCCAAACCAGCATATGTGAGCATCCAACCGAGCTTTACACACGTTTACACCTTCACATCCGTGTTTGCTGTAATTTGGTTCTTTTCGGAAGCGCATATTCTGGGGGAGAGGAAAGAGGGTTAGTCACCTGACCATATTCTCCATACTTAAGGTCAATATAGACTATTTTACATATGTACTTGTGATAACACGAATCTCTGAAAAAATGTTGATAGCTTGTTATTTAAAGCTGCAACATGTCATTTTTCATTGTGAAAATTTGTAAATTGAGCTGTTGTGTCAGATATACTGTGAGTTTGAAAAAAAAAGTCTGCTTACTGTCATTCACAGCGTTGATGATAAAGTCAGTGTTATGCCAGACATTATAAGGAAGATGTTAACATGAAGAGTGGCAATGAAAAACTGATGCTCTTGCATAGCAGAAGTGTGTAGAGCAGGTCTAATGCACAATACACTGGTGTAAATCATGTTAGAAAACAAAGGACAACTACTGTTAATCTTTAAGCCAACAATCTCCAGCGAAAATAAATCTGTCATAGTGGGAATGAGTCTATTGATAATGCTTTTGGGAATCTCTCATGGATTCTGATTTATCCATGATGTTGCAGGTTTCTAGCCCAGGTTTCTAAGAACAGTATTATACCAGTCTCACACTTTTTAACCAACCGTAAATGTAAATAGGTACTTTATGAGGACAGACAGGGTCCCTGGAGGACTAGTGGTTAGACCACAGCTCTCTCACTGCCGCAGTCTGGGTTCAATTCCTGGCCAAGGAACCAACACCAGCCACTGGGGTAAAATAAAACCAACACCAGCCACTGGGGTAACATAAAATTGGGGAGGGTTGTGTCAGGAAGGGCATCTGGCATAAAAACTGTGTCAAATCAAATACATGGACCAATGATCCATTGTGGTGATCCCTAACAGGAGCAACCAAAAGAAGAACAACAACTTTATGAGGACAGACAACTGAGCTACACAGTTTTAAGACTTTAACATAAAGGGCATCTATTCAACACTGTATTTACATATTCAGTTGACGCTTTTATGCAAAGCGACTTACAGTTGCAACAGGATATAACTGAGCAGTTGAGGGTTAAGGGCCTTGTTCAAGGGCCCAACAATAGCAGCTTGGTGATGCTGGGGTTTGAGCTCTTCTGATAAGAAGCCCAGTTACCCAGTGGCACCTGAGCCACCACTGCCTTATTTATTCACATGCTTTCTTCACCTTAGCTCTTTGTATTTGGAATAAAACAGTGCCAGTCTACTGGCTTAGTCTGTAATTTATTCTGGAACTTTTTGTTAACTTTTGTTTATGGATTTTTAATTAATATGACATTGAACTTCACAGAAAATTCCTGAGTGATATAAGACGGTCTTGCTCTTTTTTAGGAGCTAACAGCAAAACCTGACTGTTTCAGATCATTGAAAAATTTTTCTCACATTAAGTTTCTGGCGATTCGAGTAGTCTTTTTAGTGCTTCGAAACTATGAGACTGTAAGAGGCTAATGTTACTAACAAGTAATAGAAGTGTTACCAAAAATGTAATTTTTTTTTAATTAGCCTAGAAACTTTAGACACCAAGCATATTTAAAATTGTCAGTTTTGTGGCTTTTTCTTCAGTCCCAGTGCCCTTTAAGCCACAAGAAAATCCACTGATTTGACGTGAAGTGCTTTGTGGCTGACACCAATCAAAGTTGGTGTAGTCACTGAAAAAGAAATACCTTCATGCAAATGTTAACTTTCCTGGGTTTTTGTCCTTTAGGTAGAACCTGAACCTGTTCATCCTGAAGGCTCCTCTCTGAAAAGAAGACAGTAATACACAAAGATGAATTATTCTTTCCTCTCTGTTATGACTCATAAGTGGTTCCAGGTCATGCAGAGTGAAAGAATGAATTTCCTCCTCATCCCTGCTGTTCTCCTCACTACTGTCACTCTGGTGATAAACCCATTACTCCTCTTCTGCATCTTCTACAATCCATCTCTCCGACAGGAAACGCGCTACCTCCTCCTGGCCAACACACTGCTATCGGACATCCTCTTCCTCATCTTCAACCTCACCAACATCTCCTGTAATGTGCTGGACATGGAACTGCACTACATATTCTGTGCGTTCTTAATGGTTGCCACTGTGACTACATACTGCTCCTCTGTGTTAACTGTCACACTGATGGTCATTGACACGTTTATGGCCGTGCGTTGGCCACTGCGCTACAATGAAATCCTGCCTCTGTCACGAGTAAAGAAGATAGTCGGGTTGGTGTGGGCCATAGCCGCATCGTATCCACTCTCACTGCTGGTGGTGATGGTGGTCGAAAAACAGGGCAACCCAGAGAACCTGAAGATGTGTCTGGTGCTGCTCACTCTATTGTCCCTGGAAAAAGACATTAAAGTCAGCCTGCATATCTACTTCAGCGTGTGGGTGATTTTCTGCACTATGCTGATCCTCTTCTGCTACATCCGTCTCTACATGGTCACCAGGAGCTCTGGGATATGGCGCAGTCGCTACTCACGAGCCCGGCTGACTCTGCTAGCACACACTGTGATGTTGCTAATATACTTCATACCCGGTTTGGTGTTTACAGTGGAGCTTATGCTGTTTGAGTTGTTATTGAAGCATCTGCACTTGGCTGTGTGGATCAATACAGCGAATCTAGCTGTGCTGATGGTTGTGCCATGTGCTTGCACCCCCTACCTTTATGGCTTGCGTTACCGGGAGGTCTATGAGACGGTTCAGCTGGTGCTGTGGAAAATATGGCTCAGTCAGAACACAAACACTTCACCAACACCAACAGGCCCTTAAAGAGAATAATTACACAAAAAACCAACATGGCCAAATATGAATGGAATCTAGCAGGGTGCAAAACAATACAGTGGGATTCTTGCCTTGCTAATTTCTACTGTTATATAAAGAAATCTAGCCAAAAATGATCTATGATTGCTCATGATTCGTAACAGACTGTTTGTGTGAAAGGTTTACACCTTTCATTAATTACCATGCGTGAGGAAAGTGACTCTTTTTTATCATCATGGTAGCACCTCCCTGTTGTTAAGAACTGCTGCTTTAAATATAAAGACTGTCCTGTGCTCATCCCAGGGCTCTTATTCAACATATACTCATACCGAACATCCTTTCAGCACACTTTATCCTGTTTCACTTTTTAATATACAGTTGTAGAAGAGTAATGATTTATAAAACCCACTATTAGATGTCACCCAGGATGGGTTCCCTTTTGAGTCTGGTTCCTCTCAAGGGTTCTTCCTCATGTTGTCTCAGGGAGTTTTTCCTTGCTCCTATTGCTGCTGGCTTGCTCATTAAGGATCTAAATCTATAGCTGGATTTCTGTAAAGCTACTTCGTGACAATCTCTATGTCATGTCAATGCCGGAAACGTTTATGGCCACCACGGATTACAACACCCAACAGCTACAGAAACCGTCACGTTCATGTTCACGTTCACGTTCACCAGCTTCCTGATCAGACAAACCTGAACTCATTCACTAATCACAGCATTCAATGAATACACGCCATGTAAGGACTCTCACACCAACCAGTCATTGTGAAGTATACACTCTGTGTTCTCGTACCAGTCGTTACCAAGCCTTGTCTTCAGTCATAGTCTCTTCTGGTTTTGATCTCGTTTCTGGTTTTCACGTTTTTGCTCATTGTCTAGCCTTGTTTATGCTGATCGTACATCGCCTGACCTTTGCCTGTTTTCTGACCTTGTTTTTGTCATAGGTTTTGGATCTGTCTGCAAGCTTGATAAATAAAGCTTTTGTTTACCTGCACCTGCATTTGTATCTGCTGCCTGACACTCTATCTGTTAAAAGTGCTATACAAATAAAAACTGAATATAACAGTATACAATTTTTTCATAAACTGATCACATTTGGCTCTTATGGAGCCACGGGAAAATGTCTTTAACAGGTTAGTTTTATGTAGATCAGGCACAAAATGCTTCTCTGAGTATATCAACAGGACAACTACACGACTACAAAGATTAACATTATAATGTTACCTGTTTTGACTAGCTGTTATCTGATATGCTATTCATTGTCTTACTTTCACTTTTATTTATACTAGGTTTTACTTTTCCAATTAAATAATATATTTTTAATGGCTACATAGTAAACATAACTGATGGTTCATTAAATCCCTGTCCAACAAAATTGTGTTTTAAAAACATTTCCTACTTGTACTTAATTACTTTTTTTTTAATAAAGAACTGTCAACATGCTTTAATTTATTTACAGAAGTAGATTAAGTTATACAACAGGCCTAGTTATGGCTAAGCTATCTGTTTTTATATCTCCGTGTAGTGGGAGAGCTCACTCGGCTCCATTTACCTGCAAAGTGATGTTTACTCTCATCTCCACCTCCATGGAAACATGACCAAAACCGTTCAATATCACCTGGCTCACACGCTTGCTTGTCTTTCTGCAGTGAGGAGAAGCGTGAATTGCCAGTGCTGAACACTTGCTTACGCAGAGTTAAGTAGGAATGGAGGCTCTTCTGCAGGGGCGAACAGAGAGGCTCTTCGTGGCTGCGGAGGATTTCATACTGTCTCTTTTGTGTACATTTGGTGATTGGTACAACAGCTCGGGACAGGCGGAGCGTCTCGGCCGACAGTTTGCCCTGACTAACACCTCTCATACTGCAATGGAGTTGTTTGTTCAGGAGTGGCAGGTTTTTCTCCCTCCTCGGCATATGAGGCTATTCCAGATCTGCCCCATCCTAGGATTTCTGGCTGTCTTTTTAACCACGCCAATCGTCCTGGCCCGGATCCTGTCCCGAGCTCACTTGCGGCAGCAGACCCGCTACCTTCTCCTGGCCAATGCCTTGCTTAGTGACCTACTCTTTGTGGCTGTCTACATGCTAACCACCTGTTTGAATGCAGCCACTGTTCTGATGTCAGACTTGGCCTGTGCTGCCATGCTCTTCCTGTTGAGCACCTTTTACAGTTGTGGGATCTTCAGCGCCACTGCCATAGTGCTGGACACTTCCTTGGCTATATTAGCACCATTACGTTATGCTATGCTGTGGCCGGTCTCCAGAACCTATGCAGCTGTCTCCACTGTCTGGGCCGTTTCTGTCTTCTTCCCCGCTGCATCTGTGGGTCTCTTCCTGTGGTACCATATGATGAGCCCCTGCGCCCAACACATCTGCTCTCTGCCTCTGATGCTAGTGCTAACTGTTAGCCACTCGAAGCCCCTCCAGGTGTGCATGTTGCTAACTGTCACGGCCTTACTAATCACCCTGCTGCTGGTGGTCTCTGGTTATGTGGTACTGTACTGTTATACCAACAAGTCCGGAGTGCGGAGAGGAGAGCGGTCATCCCGGGCTAAAGGAACATTTCTTGTGCACTATCTCCACCTGTTCCTGTCTGTGTGTCCCATGCTGCTACTGGTCATCGAGTTGCTGCTTTACAGCTACAGCAGTGAGCTACATCCCAGTGCACTCCTCTGGGTCTCGCTGGTGCTGTGCAACGTCCTGCTGGTTTTGCCCAAAGCCTTGGCACCCTACCTGTACGGACTCAGGTACAGGGACCTGCGTGAGGCTCTGCTGGATTTCTTTCGGCTGAATAGACCTAGGGCCATCACGCCTGTGATGTGATTGCTAAAACATTTCTATCATTTTTATGAAGATTGTGTAAAGGGGTTCAGTAGACCATTTAAGTTTCTTTAGACTTACCCTGCTAAAGATTTCAATTGCTGTCCTAATTCTGATAAAAGCCTAAAGCAGGTAATCATGGGCTACGTTTAAAAAAATCATATTT